TGAAAACATGTTTTTGACGTAAAATTTGACGGAGAATGCGATAAAAATACTAAAAACTTGATTCGTTTTGGGGGCGTTTGTTAAAAATCGATTTAAACAATTAAATTGTTAATAACAATATAAATTTGTTAGTATTTTTTGTAAAAAAAATTTTTTTCTTACAGTTCAGTCCTTCAGCTACAAAAGTGCAATTGGTGAAAATTTTGTAGCTCTTAAAGATTCGGACCTATGGATTTATGAAAATGAGTCTCCAAGCCAAAAAACTTGCCATTCTCAAATGTTCGATCACTTGTATTATCGAAAATATGCAAATAAAAAAATATTCCTCGGACACGTATCTCTTTTTTTTCGACATAGAATCTGTAAAAAAAGTTTCAGTCAAATCGAAGAGGTGTCGATCAGACAGGTGTTCGATTTGTAAAAGAATTACCCATATACTATAACTTCCAATTTTCTAATTATGGATTAATGTATAATTCTATCATGAATTTTTAAACTGTGCATTTATTAATAACAGGAAGCATAAATAAATTATCAAAATAAATGATCTACATTTTACTGTACTTAAATTAGTCCTAAAATTAATTAAATCTAAGTAAAGAATTAAGAATATAAAAAATTTATCGTATTATAAAAAATATTTCTCTTATAAACAAAAATAAAGTTACTATTATATAAAATTTTCAAGATTATATATAAAAAATCTCGTGTAAAAAATTTTACAATTGAGAGATGACTAATGTTGCACTCTCTCGAACCAAAATAGAATAAGTATTTACAATTCGATGTTTTGTATAATATAAACAAAAGAATGGCCTTTAGAAAACATGTAGTATTTATTGTGTTTGTGAATCTACTTTGGTTTGAGAGAGACAACTCGGTATCGAATTAGAAACGCAACAGAATCGAAAGTTACGGTCTCGTAGAGTTGAGAAAGGAGCAAAAGAGAATTATAGAAGCTACGTTACCAGTGGCTTTCATCATATCCCACATCAGTGTACCCAGTTCCATACCCAGTAGTAGCAACAGCACCACCGTTTCTCATCGGTCCAGCCGCACTTCGGTCATAATCATTTCTCGCTGTATAATCGACTGTGCGACTGGCACCGAAATTATCAGTACGACCATAATCTACTGGGCCAGGTGCGCCACGATTGAAATCTCCGGCCATGCCTCCACCAACTCCTGTACAACGTGGATATTAAAATTCTTGATTACATTGATTTCTCGTTTGTTTTCAAAAGTTTTTGAAAAGTTTGTGGATTCCTTTCGTCTCACGGAAATCATATTGTCAACTATAAAGTTAATAAATAACTAAATATGCGTATCAAGTGAAAAATACAGATACTGACTAAAGAATATCAATGAGTGTGTAAATGTAATTAAACCTATATCTAATTCTTCAAAATGATTACAATGTAAAATTCAGATGATAATTTCAGACAAATAAAAAACAATTTTTCATCTTCGAAGCTAAGATTATTTTCCGTTTCTATTTTACACCTCGTATAACAAAGATTTACTCTAGTTTACTCGCAATTACTCCACATCTGTATCAAAATACAAAGTCACAGTACTTAGTTATTTGAGACAAAATCATATACTTTTAAAGTTGCAAACATCACCCTTATAATTACCATAGTCTGTTCTAGCACCGAAGTCGGCGCGACCATAATCAGCTGTTCGTCCATAGTCTGCCGCGCCAGTTGGTCCATATCCTCCCACAGCACCTGCAGCTGGTCCGTATCCACCGCCCATCCCCGGTGCCGTCGAAGTGTAACCCATCGCTGCGCCACCCACGTTCTGACCATAAGCTCCGCGATCGCCGTAGCCGGCACCAAAGTCCGCCCCACGGCCGCTAAAGTCACCAGCCCCGCGATTGTAATCGGTGTACCCGGTCGCGACGCCACCTGCAGCAGATCCATCGTAACCAACGAGTTGGATCGGAAGAACTGCAAAGCACGCCGAGATATAAAATTGGTTTTTAGTGTACATCGTGTCAAGGTTTTATGTCATTTTTCATTCCAACATACTATTTTCTCAAATGATTACCGAAATGTCGTATCGTTGCGAAGGGGTGTGTTCAAGAAAAATTTCGTATTATCATTTTATCCTTGTTCACTGAATGTTAAACAAGAACCCTAGGTTAACTCGGGTGAAGATTCTGAACGTAGCCTAGAGAGCCTTGCTAGATGGTTTTTATCCTCCGAAGCTAATAATGGATCTATTAGACTTACTAATTATAAATTTCTTTGTCAAAAATGTCAATTTAATTTTTTTATGCTGCTCAATTATTCTTATTAAAATATATTCAGTATTCATTCTTTTCTTATATCATTTTGATTTTTTGAAATCAATTAATGCCTTTCACTTAACATAAATAAATCTTACAACCCCGTGCTTTCTATTTAATGACACAAGTCAACACAAACATTATTTTATTTATTTTGGCATTCAATGAGTAACAAAGATAGAACGACACTTGTGTTACTAAATGAGAAGCACCCAGTAACTGTGTTAGCTTCAGAGGCTTAAGCGAGACGTAGCTCCTGTTTTACACTCATTGATGCGGGACAGCGAAAAAAAGCAAAACATCAACGAAAGTATTACGACAATAATACTGAGTATTACGACTACATTGAGAGTGTGGCGCAAATGCATGTACAGGGACGATATAAATACTAGAAGAAAATTAAATGAGAAAATAGTCTTGTCGGAATTTATAATACAAACTGAGGTACAAACAATACCAACCTCTTCTATCATTGTATGGTCCAGGACGAGCGTCTCTACCACCGTCTCGTCCCCCCCTACCACCTCTCATTGGTCCACCTCTTCTGTCATCTCGGCGTCCTCCTCCGCCTCCGCGTGACTTTCCAGTTGACTGTTCCACGTTGATTGTTGCCCCCTTGAAGTTGGAATTGTGAAGTGCCTTGATCGCCGCAGCTGCATCCTCCTCTCGTGCCATGTGGACGAAGCCATATCGATTCATCACGTCGCATTCGGTCACCTCACCGAAGCGCAAGAACAATTGCCGTAACTCATCGTTACGACAATTTTCCGGCAACCGGCCAACAAATATTTTTGTTTTCCTCTGCGAAATATGAAATCACACGCAACATGCATTATTATTGCGTCGAATATTAGTCGCCGAGAAAATCATAACCGTTAATGCATTGTTATAGAAAAGCAAAACTGTAAGATTATACAAGATTTGTATCTCAGAAATCGACCATAAATCCTTTGTAGAAAGTATGGTGTCTGTTCGAGACTTGCTATTGCTCAGTTGTATTGAAATGTAATTTTACAGAATATATGAAATTACAATAATGTAAAATATTCTGAGCATATTACTATGATCAGTTAAACTATCATGTAGCAAAATAAATAAGGATCTTAAATTATAATTTTTGTTCTTCAATAAGATATTTATTCAATGTCTTTTGTCAAAGTTGTTATTAACTAGAAAAAATATATATAATTGTTCATATGCTCTTACCGGCTGATTAGATGACACCATCTGAAACAAAATGTTCAATTGGTTAATGGATATGTATATATCACAATTTTTACATTTTATTTTTTATAACTTGTTTTAGATTTAAAAATTCTGATGTATGATTTTAATAATTCGTTTATGTCAATAATTCTTTCAGGCAATTATGGCATAATTCAGCTATTTACCACAAATGATGAAAGAATTATTTAGAATAATAATTTATCTATTATTTTTGCTTCATTTTTTGCATTACATAATGGTAATAATAGATGTCTTGTCAATATTAATGCATTGGGACTACATAAAAATAAAAATATTTCCAGAGCGTTACATTAAATTTAAACACAAAAAACAGACAGCTATGAAATATAAAAGGTTTGTTTTTTGTAACTTTGCATCATATTTTTTATATTTAAAATAAATATATAATTAGACGTTGGAGAAAGAAAGAGGCGGGAAAGGAGAAAAGTACAAAAAAGTACATAAAAGTACAAAGCACTTTTTATATTATTCATCTTTTCTCTTTTTCCTCTCTCTTCAACGTCTAATTATATATCTTCACCTTATTCACCTTAAATGCAGGATATATAGTGCAGATGCAAAAAAACCGACATACAAAAAACTGGACTGGAGGAAGCAAATTGCAAGAAACGTGAAAAGTTTTCCAACAATTTGATCCGGAGGATAAACTTGTTGCGCGTCAAAATTAATCCTGGAAGTATCGAGCAGTCATTATTAACCATTTCTATTTTTTAGATTAATATTATATTTCTTGTATAAAAGATAAGATTCTGAAATTTTTTGATTTTTTAATAATTAATTTGACTAAAAATATTTTATAGACATTTATATTTTTCTCATTTGTTTAAAATCCTTTTACATGCATTGTTATCTATTGGTTACCAGCATTATACATAAATTTAAAGGATTCTTCAAACAAAGAATAATTTATAGAAAATGTCACAAGTCTATGTTCAAGTTACAATTTAAAATAATGGTTCATATGGTGCCTATAATATTTTTGGCTAAGATTGTACGTCCTTTCTGATAAAATTCTGATAAAATATTTGATTTTTCATCACTCTTTTTTTGTTTTTATTATAGTAATTTCTTCGCTTAGTTCTTAAGTACAACATTAGCACTTTTAGGCCCAGTTTCACAACTTACAGTTAACTTTTAACTGTTTATCTCTTTCCAATTCAAGAATTGGAAAGAGACAATGAATAAGTTGAACCTTGGTTAAAACTTAACCATGAATTGTGGAAAAGATCTAAGGATAACATATATTTGGAAAGCAGTAAGAATTTGGGGATTAATTGTGCTTTCCATTTAGATCTAGTTCTACAGCTATGTATTCTTACTCTCTTTATTTGTTTCAACAATTGAAAAGAAATGAGGAATGAAACTAAAAAGAGGTGAGGAATAAATTGAACCTTGATTAAGAGTTTATTATGAGTTGTGGAAATCAGCCTTAATGACACAAGTCGACACAATCGTTCTATCTTTTTTACCATTAAGGCTCAGTTTCACTCACGGTTAAGTCTTAACCGAGATTCAACTTATTCATTGTCTCTTTCCAATTCAAGAATTGAAAAAAGAAAAGAAACAAATTGAACCTCAGTTAAGAGTTAACCGTGAGTTGCGGAACTGGATCTCAGAAAGTAACAAAGATAGAACAATAATTGTGAATTGAACTTGTGTCACCAAATGGAAAATACCTGCGTATCTTGGAACAAAATGAAAATTACAAAAATGAGCAAATTATTAAAATATTATAATTTCACTGATCAACACCTGATTTTTTACTTTTTGTAATTTTCGAGATAATTTTCATCTCGTTTCAAGATACGATTGACCTCCTAATATCATCCGGCGATTACTTTTACCTATAGAAGACTAGTAATCGTCAAGGACTTTTGAGGATTCTTGACTCTCATTCATTCTAGATAAATTTTTCATCCTTTCTCTTTCCAATTGTATGTATATCAGTTTCATTTTCATCGCAGAAAGTAGAAGGATGCATATCATTGGATACACCGCGCGTGCGACAGACGATCCCGCCTAAAATAAACGCGGCCGGCTTTTTCCTTCTGCCTCTCCCACCTCGATACTCCCAACTTCGATACTCCGAATCGTTAATTTTTTTTTCCTTTTTTTTCACAGCTACTTTCGCATAGCTATGACGCTTCGCCGATATCGGGAGTAAACAGAAGGCAAAAAAAGACGAACGCGTATCGCAAGTCATAATGCGGTGAGGAAACGGAGAGAGGCAGATGAGAGGCGAAATGGCGGTCGAGTCCACTTCAAGAAAAGTACTACCAATCGTCGGTCTATCGTAAGAACGATCCTCGATCGCTCGCGTCACCCATGACGCCGATCGTTCAATTTATTGATCCCTAGAGCATTCATAAAACCAAGAATATGTGAGAGAAACGTGATCGTGCCGATTGCACTGCAGAAAGCTGAGGAGAGATGGGGGAAGTGAAAAGGAGATACGGAATGTAGAGAATGAGATATTACCGTTCCAGCCGCCGACGTCTCCGTAGTAGCGTGATAACCGACAGACGTGTCCATCGATAAACCGGAGAGGGGGGAAAAACGCAGAAAACGAAGAAACTGAAATCGACGGTTAAACCGACGTACGAGCGATTCTCGTACACGTGAGCGTTATCACACGAGCCTTGATCACTGAATCCGTAACACGATAGATCGTGACTCACACGTTAAAAAAAAAATTGACCGAATGATACAAAGCACGCGAGTGACGACGCCGATACTCTAACGCGAGCCGTGAACATTCGTCAGCGTTCGTTGTGCGAAACAGTGCTGCCAACCCGTGCGAGTTGGCGCCTCGTTCTTGGACCCCGCTGGCTTTCCTCGTTTCCGGTTCCACGTGGTTTTTATTTTCATGGCACTAACATGACGAAAGCACTACCTTACCAAATTTTGCCGTCAGCATCAATGAGAGGCTATTAAAGACGGCCCAAGGCTCCTATTCTTGAGCTACGTACCAAAACTTCCTCTCCGAGGAAAATTTTACTTGAAATATATAGTACACGTGACATATACTATAGCACATAAAGTAAAATCTTCCTCGGAGAGGAAGTTTTAGAACGTAGTCTTGAAAAGAAACGTATACGAAAAAGTAGGAAAATAGTTGATGAATCTCTGACCTAGAAATCGATTCTGTGTCTTCAAATAAGATCAAAATTATAAAAATGAGCAAATTTACTAGGTATTGACCAATGAAATTATCAGTATTCTAGTAAATTCACTCACTTTTGTAATTTTCACCTCGTTTCAGGATACTGCATCGATTCCCTGATGTAAGTAGACAGGTGTACCGTTCCCGAAAATGCAGTAAAAAAGTGAATTAAGCATAATTGAATAATCAATCAAATTTTGGCCACCATGCACTTTCCTGCATATAATAGCGCTGGCATATTGGAATAGCCAAAATTTGATTGGCTATTCCAATATGCCAGCGCTATTATATGTAGGAAAGTGCATGGCCAAAATTTGATTGGTTGTTTCCAGTATTTGCTATCGCCATTATGCGCAATGGTGGACATACATCATTGGTGCGTTCGAGGAGACGCAGCCGGGCTCGCTTTCACGATCCCTCTGGGAACTTTCGTTTTGCGTTATGGAGCATATGCTCACCCCCTTAACTCGTTCGACTTCTCTATGCCACTTGCGAGACTCGCCGCCTCCGGCAGAATCGAGCATTTTCGATTCTGGCCGTATCGACTCAGCTTGTAGTCGGCTGTCGGCGCCACTCTACCAAGCTTATTATTATTATATACACATATGTCGTATTGGTCCATTCAGTCTATTGTATGGTGAAACGCGTGCCATTGTAAACGTAGATATATCACGTAATATTGTGGGATTAATCCGCGTTTTCGGAAAAAATGAAGAGATCGCCATTGAACAATTCTGCTCATGGTAGCCGACCGTACGGTGCCAGGCACACGCCGTACATGAATTGGAAGTCTCACGAGAACGCATGTGGTAGAGGTTATCAGTTCGTGGATGGTAACAGCTATCCGCGTTTCTACGCAAGTAATACAGGATCGCAGTCCCACGATGGCGATTTTATTCCTCTGAACGTCAGCACACCGCTGACGCAGTACGACAAGTATAATACAGCTAATCGGTACAGCCCTTTCGGTGGACGCGGCAGTCCAAGCAGTGGATGGTGTAACAATTATAGGGGTAACTATCACGCCACGCCAAGATCGAACAAGAGAAACCCTGCCTACAAGCATTCTCCTAAACAGTTTCAAGGGCAGATAAGAAAGGTAAAGAACTTAACTGTGTTGAAAGATAAATACTCTTCTAAGTTCTACGTTGCACAGGAGAATTTAATGATTGATATTTAAAAACTACAAGTTACTTTACTTTGTTTTATGTCTTTTTTTTTTAGGACTACAAAGGAGCGCACAGGCAGGTAAATATATCAGCGTATGTAGACATGAATTCCTTTTTGG